GCCTGTAAAGGGGGGGGGGGGAGGAGCCTGTCTTTACTACTTCATTTGGAGCAAACCTGCTAAAATGACCAGAAGAAAAGAGACAGTCTCCGGCATACAAACAGTAACACAGATGCGATTTTCTCACTGCTGTGTGATTTTCCAGGGCTCCATTATCTTTGCTCTTGGCTATTTATTCACTAGTGCATCTTGTTTGAAAGGGCAAGAAATCGGACGGCTTTTCTAATTATTTTTCTTCTTGAACGTCCTAGTCTAAACAAGCCCATTTAAGAGAAAACAAGGGACATTTTTGTCTCCCTCTGTGTGGAGTATGAAAAAACCCAACAACCTGGAATTCTTTCCTGGCAGGGTTTTAAGTAAAACTACCCCCAATGTATTGATATGCCAGTAATTCCCAAGGAGACCCAACGCCTAAGAAAATTATCCTGGACTAAGCAGAGATGCAAGAAATGTCCCCATCTCCATCGAGGCCTAGCTTGGCCATCAATGCACGTTTGCTGTTAGGACACGTCAATGTTTCTATTTTTACAGCGTTTTTTTTAAAAAGCCCAAATGTAAGTGATTGTTTTGATTTAGCTTCCTTATTTCAATGACACCAAACACACATTTAATTATAGTCCAGAACGGGCACTGGGGCCAGCTAAGCGGAGGCGCGTGCTGTGATTACTATCTGCTCTTTCCTGAGGAAGAGGTCCGAGAAATTTGCCTGGGTGACAGGATCTGGCTGAGCGAAACTGACAGGGTCCTGTGAAGTTGTACCGCATACTCTGTCTAGCGTAAGCTTAAGAAATACGAGCAGGATCGCTCTGCCATGCAGCAAAATACAAACAAAAAAAATCACCATCCGCTTTGACAGATTTTCTCTCTCTCAAGGCATTCGGCTCTCGTTCATTCTTTAGAATGAACCCACCCACTTCCCCCCGGCGCAATGCGAATTGAGAACTGGTAATGAAATTACTTGTCACCTTTGCATTTCCCGTTCCAAGAGAGATCAGCTTGTTATTTACTGCTAAGGTGCCGGCCATACTGAGCTGCAATAACACCTTCCAGCTTCCCAGCGTTATTGTTATTCCCTCCCTGGGGCGAATAATTGTCAAATACAAATCTACGTGACACACGCCGCCAGTGGAAAGAAGTCTTGACCGAATTCTTTTGGGCGCTAGCGGAATGTGTGGGAACCTTAGCTGCGAGAAGCAGGAGTATTTGCCGTAGGCCTCTCGGCCGCTACAGACTAGCTCTGGCTAGGCAGAGTGGAAGGAGAGGAAAGGAAAGGAAAATGACAGATCCTAGCTCCCGACCCCAGGGCTTGTTAAGGGGATACTCACAGTTAAAGTCCGGCATTTTGGGGAGGATCATGCCAGCCGTGGACGCTCGTAACCACTGATCCAGCTGAAATGTCCCGGCACTGAGTTTGATGGGGTCTGCGGCAGGGTGAGAGGGGTGAGGCCCCTGCACCTGGGAGTAGGAGTAGGACAAAGCGGGGTGCTGCCCGGCCAGAGCGGCTGCTGAATAGCTGTACATGGGGTGCCCGTAGAGGGCGGCCTGGGTGGCGATGCCCGCTCCCCCCTGGTGCAGTCCCAGGGCCATGCTCCCGGCAGAGTGATGGTGGTGGTGATGGCTGCTGGTGCTGCTGGTGCTGGTCAGGAAACCGGGCTTGGGCACCAGCCCGCAATGCGCGGTGAGGATCCGCGGCGGCGAGGGGCTCTCAGTCCGAAGGCAGTCCGAGGAGCCGCCGCTGTGGCGCTCGGAGGAGGACGGGGGGCTGCAGCTGCTGTTACTGCTGCTGCTGTGGCCAGAGGTGTTGGCGAGGGAGGTGACCAAGGCCAGCGGGGAGGTCTGTGCGGAGGCGGAGGCGGCTGCTTTGGGAGGGTCGACTGCTAGGAGAGCATCGATCCGGAAATTTTTGGATTTTTCCATCGGATTGTTTCTAACCCCCAATAAACTCCCTGCGCGTTTACAATAACCCGAGCCGCCCCCGCCCGACCCCCCTGCCCCCCG